TTTTTTTTGTCCGGACATTTTTGCACCCCGGGGACCGGTCCGAACTGTCCGGTGTCCGGCGATGTCCGGACCGGTCCAGACACTGGTCCGGAAGACAGTCCGGAGTGTCCGGTGTCCGGGTCCGGGGTTACCATGCTTCTGTCCTCTTTTCTTGTCCTCACGTTTAACCATCGGTTAAGTGGGACGACTAGGTGGAGAATAAGCCATTGTAAACTTCTAAATTTAGGACAGTGGATTATGGTTACTTGGCTCCATGGGATCTGATTGAAGTTTATTGGGTCGACTTGAAGGTGATTAAACCATCTCTCTGTTATGACTGGGTCTGGGATCACTGATCTCCTCCTTAATTTGTATCCGAGACTTGTGGTATATTGTAGAATGTTATATTCCATGCCCATTCTGCTAGATCTACCTCTAAATTCTCAAGAGCCGTTTGAGGGTTATACAAGGTTAGCTCATTGTTTTCTATTCCTCTTACTTTTCTGAGATTGCCTTCTCTGACTGTGACCTGTCCTTCACTATTTTTGTTTACTTTGCTATAGTCCTTGAGGATTTTCTATTGTATGAATAGTAAATGTGATCCAGTTATCTTTGCCCTCTATCCCTTTTTTGTACGCCAATACTTGTTCTGTATCAATTGTGTGGGTCATTACTGCCCAGTCTCCTATCGTCCATTGTCTATTACTTTTGAGGATTGGGATCCATTCTGTAGGATGCTAGATATTATTTGCTGTAGGTTGTTGGCTAAGCGATGGTAGTCCTTTAGTATGTTTCTGAGTTGTTTCTTGTCTTTCCATCCTTTCTTTTCTTCATCCCATATACGTTTCACCTGCCAGATTCCTTTTTGTAGCCACGCTCCCCATCTTGCGTCCTTTGTAGTTAGTGTGTAGGGTTTTTCCTCCTCTTTTGTTATCCATGGATTACAGAATAGAGGTTGTCTGAGGATCTCTTCTTTGTTTCGGGGCTTTCTTACCTTAGCAGGGAAGATTTCTCTCCAGGCTTGGATGATGTTTCTCCATAAATTTAATCTTGCTGCCTTTTTGGTGTGTGATGTGTTTGGTGATTTTCCCTTCTTTGACCAGGACTTACTCATTAACCAAAAGGAACCTTCCATATTCGCTGGTGTGTTGTAGACAGGTAGCTGGTAGATTCCCTCCAAAGCCAATGTCCTCCATGGAATGTTGGGTGAGGTTATTAGTTTTATCATCCATTTCGTTTGAAGAGCCTTTATTTGTGTAGTTGGATCCAAAACTCCCAATCCTCCTTGGCAATTCTTCCTTGTGACATATTGCCATGCGACCTTGGTAATGAAGTGTGGTGTGGATGTATCTCCTGTCCATAGATAGGTTGCTCCCTTCTTCGATCTTTCATGGCCTTTTGGTCCGGGTTCCAAAAGGCTGTGACATACCACATCATTGAGAAGATAGATGAGTTCAAGATCAAGGCTCGTGTGAACCTTCTCCCAAGCACTGAGTTTTCTAATCATCTTGGCGAGCAAGCTAGGGGTCATCTTTGTTGCTGCTCCTAACTTATTAATTTGGACTCCTAGAACTCTCATTGGGTCGTTAGGATCTGCCCACGCCATGCCTGCATGTGAGTTATGGGGTGGTTCGTTATTACCATTTGTTAGCCACCATCCTACAGTCTTTTGCCAGTTGATCCGCATTTATGAGGCTAGCTGATAAGCCCTCATTGCTCGCGTGAGGGCCTCAAAGGAGGAATTAGTGGCTATGATTAAAATTGTTAGATCGTTAGCGAACAGGATGGTGGGGGGTATGATGTAGGTGCGTCTTCCGTTGGTGATGTGATTTTTTCTATGGAGGGGTCTTTTCTAAGGAAGGAGGTTATGCCTTCCATGATGAAGAAGAAGATCAGTGCTGCAAGGGGGTCTCCTTGTCTTACTAATCTTGACATCTTGTAAGGATTAGATATGTGTCCATTTACTTGTACCGCTTCATAAGCGTCGCTATAAAGAATTTTAACCCACTTTCGAAAGATAGGTCTTACCCCCATTTTATTCATGCATTGTTGTAGGAAATCCTTGTTTACTTGGTCGTAGGCTTTTTCGAAGTCAAAGAAGAGGATGGCTGCATTGATTTTCTTATCATTGATATATCTTACTGATTCCGCTAGTGTCTTTACATTGTTTAGAATGAATTTGCCTGGAATGAATCTTGTTTGGTCAATATGAAAGCAGAATTTAGTTATGTTTCTTATTCTGTTTGCTAGGAGTTTGGCTAGGATTTTGTAGGCTACCGTTAGGAGAGTAATTGGCCTATAGTTCCT